TGCTTACCCGAAACTGAGAAGTAGATTCTGGGTATGACATGTCTTTTTTACCTTGACTCTTTTCCTTTCGTTTCTGATATGATTCTATTGTCTGAAATAAATTTTGTCCTTATAGGTATTACTGACTCGTTGCAAACGAATTGGAGTCTCAAAAAAAATATCAGGAGTTGAGAGAACCCGGTTAAAAGTTATAGCAAAAACATTGCAGCCTCAGGGTTTTGGTCTGACGGTAAGGACTGTAGCTGCTGGCCATTCTCTCGAAGAACTGCAGAAAGACTTAGAAGGTCTGCTTTTAACCTGGAAGAACATTACAGATGAAGCAAAATCATCAGCCCTTGCTGCAGATGAAGGTGTGGAAGGAGCCATTCCAGCGCTGCTACATAGAGCAATGGGTCAAACCCTCTCAGTTGTTCAGGACTATTTCAATGACAAGGTAGTTAGGCCAATTTCCATATTTTTCTCCTCCATTGGCCCCTCTAGATTCTATGTGTTGACATGTCAAGTGACAGTAATATCTTGATTTTTGCCAGGTTGAGAAGATGGTGGTTGACTCTCCAAGGACATACCATGAGGTAAATTTCCCTTAGTTTGCTCAATTTCATCCTTCATAATAGTAATGAATAGTGTTTTGAAAGAGACTTATCCTGTCATGAACGATGATCTTTTACCTATATACAATTATTGATTTACATCATATTTTGAGTGTTATGTTCAAATGCTTAAAGTATAAGCTCCAGTTACATATGCCATTTCTTCTCTTTTTAAACCTACTCTTGCACTTGCAGATAACTAAACTGTACCGTAATCTCGATCACCCAATAGAGTAGATACTGTATCCAAATTATTTCACTAACTGGTATTAGCTTACAGGTCACACACTACCTGCAGGATATGGCACCTGATCTTTGTAATCGAGTGGAATTGCATGACAAGGGTATCCCTCTTTTTGATTTATACGACATTGAGGAGGAAATCGAAGGTATTCTCAGTAAAAGGTAAGAAGTGGCTAACACTACACCGTCAGGAGTTTTGATCCACCTTTTCCTTCCCATATATATATATATGTAATTTATCTTTTGCCTCTGGCAGAGTTCCACTTTCCAATGGAGGTTCTTTAGTGATAGAACAAACTGAGGCGTTGGTCTCTATTGATGTGAACGGAGGACATGGAATGTTTGGTCAGGGTAATTCACAGGAGAAAGCTATTCTAGAAGTTAATCTTACTGCTGCCAGACAAGTATGTGATACGTTTTGGCTGCTAGATTACATATTGATCCGTCAACCTTTTGCGCCAGAAATTCTACCTCTGTATAGTACCTTAGTAGTTATTCTAATAGAGTGTCATGAGGTCAGATACTAACATATTTATGGGTATATGATTAGTGAATGCCTTAGGAAAATTTAATAGGTAGAAAGAGTAACTGTGTGAGGCCTGCTTGACTTGTGCAATTCTCCTTGAAGTCTACTCGAGTTTTACAATATGCTGATCTTGAAAATTATTTACTAAGTAATACTCGATGCATCATGATTCAGATTGCAAGGGAGATTCGGCTGAGAGATATTGGCGGTATCATTGTGGTAGATTTTATTGACATGGCAGATGAATGTGAGTTAGATTGTCATTGTTATTCATACAGTCACATAAAATTCTAGATGTGCAAACCTCTTTCTTGAATGATGGATATCTTGTATATTCTTGTTTAATTTTTTCTTTTTTTGGGTTTCAGCAAATAAGAGACTCGTTTATGAAGAGGTCAAGAAAGCAGTGGAGAGAGATAGGTCACTGGTAAAAGTATCAGAGCTGTCTAGACACGGACTTATGGAAATAACAAGGAAAAGGGTATAGTCTCAACGTGTGGATGTTTTACTCTTTCTATAGAACTTCTAATCAAATTATTTGGCATAGCACGTCAACTATATACTGTCACAGGTTAGGACGTTCCCCTGAAAGAACTGAACCCTTGAGTTATACTTATTGCAGTGAATCATTTTTTTAACAGGTTCGACCAAGTGTAACATTCATGATCAGTGAACCGTGTTCTTGCTGTCACGCAACTGGTAGAGTGGAGGCACTGGAGACTTCCTTTTCAAAAATTGAGCAAGAGATTTGTCGGCAGCTCGTGAGTGTTACAATCTAAGACTCTTTTATGTTACTTCTCTTTCCAACAACCAAATGAAGAACAGCTAAAATAAGTCATAAGAACATCTAGAATAAGTGATTGTTGTTGTTCTTCTTCTCCATTTATTCAAACGTGTAGATCATCCTTCAATTATGTTTTTGTTCATGTCATGATGATCTAAATTTTTCAGGCAAAGATGGATAAAAGAGGAGACCTGGAGAACCCCAAGTCATGGCCAAGATTCATATTGCGGGTGGACAGTCATATGTCAAGCTTCTTGACTACGGGGAAGAGGACGCGGCTTGCAGTCCTCAGTAGTTCCTTGAAAGTATGGATTCTCTTAAAGGTACCCACACTCTTCCTCCTTTCATGCGATTAGCGATAGCCAGAAGTTTCCATGATGAAGGTTGTGTCTTATTAATTTTTCTGACACAACTGAGGAATAAACTGTCTTTTGTAGGTTGCTAGACATTTCACCAGAGGAACCTTTGAGGTTAAACCGTACATGGACGAGAAGACGGTAAATGAAAGACAGCATCAAGTTGCCATTTCACTGCTCAGGAAAGCTGACGCCATAACAGACTCATCAAGCAAGAAGAAGCTCACCCTTATTCCAATTAAGAAGGAGAAGTCCAGTGGTAAACGAAGACGATGAAACAATTGTTCTCTTTTTTTGATTAAGTTCACATCATTTTGTTAGTTGTCTCAAGTAATAATACCCTATGTAAAAACATAAAAACTGTTATTAGAAGATCAGACTTATTCACAACAAAAAAAATTACTATTCCACACTAGATTTAAAATTCAACAATAGAAAATATAAACTACAGATTATATAAAACAATAGAAAAATATATATTGTTCTCTTATCTATGTCATAATCTATTGGACTAAAATATACAATTTCAAATGTGTAAATTATTATTAAAATCACGGTTATGAGATACTAATATGCCCATTGAAAGGTTAGTTTTTGCTTGATGCTTTTTTTGGAGTTGGGCTAATGGTTTAGACTGAGAGAGAGAGAGAGAAGATCCTGTTTCTGGTTATGATGTTGGGTTTAGTTGATTAATCAAGTCGTTTTCGTTTTTTTTTGGTTGATTTAATTAGGTCTAGCCAGCTTTGATGTAAGGCCATCTTTGGTCGATATATGTATCAAAATCCTAATTAAAAAACATTGATCATGTTACAATTATCAAACGGAGTTGAATTGCATCTCCTGAATAGAGTCCTACCGCACTGTTCTATTGACCAAATCAAAAGGATTGTAGACAGTGATGATTAACTTAGTTACATATGCTCACATACTGTTGTGGTTTTTGGTGTTTCTTCTAACATATGCTAAAAATATTGGTTAGTAATATTCATTGTCTTCAAAATTTTAATTTTATTTAATAAAAGTATTGGTTAGTAGTCTTCACAAATGAAATATTACTAACCAATTTTTTTCTATTCAAATAAAATTAAAATTAATTTCATGTCATTTATGCATTAATAATTAATAGAAATGAATAAGGGTAAAATTGAAATATTTTTTTTTGTTAAGTGATCGCAAGTATGAAAATGTCAAAATTTATTTTTTCAAGTATTAAATTATACGTTTTTAATAATATAAGTATTATTCTTCCAACAAAAAAAAGACCAGATATTAAATATCCAAATGAAAATTAGATAAGATATTTTTTAGCTTTTTCCCAAAAAATGTAAAATAGTCAACATAAACATTTAAAAGAAATTCTAAAAATTATTTTAAATATTAGAGTTGTTTTAATTAATGGTATATTTGGAAATTTGTGTAATGTGTGCTATAATTGTGCATAAAACATAATTTAATGCTATTTGAGGCTATTTCTCTTAAAAAAAAAAAACTAAAGAAGTCCTACATGAATGAAGGAACACGTAAAGTCTTTCTTATATCTCTTTCTTTTATGAGAATAATGAGATCTAGAGGCTAATTTTTTTTTTTTTTGTTTTTTTGTTAGGGAGACTAAGTCATCAACCGCAAGCTAGTGAGCAATATTTTAGAGTCCTTATGAGAGTTTCCGAACCTGCCAGCTATAGATTCTTCCTGGCAAATTAGACGACTCTCATTTTCTCAGCTTTTGACCAAACCAACGGACATAGTTGCACAACATTCTTCGTTACGAATCAAGCCAAACAAGATATATGTGTAGTCAAGATTGTCTCGATCAGTCGCAAAAGATGCTTCAAGCTTTTCCTAGTTTGCCGGAAAAATAAATTTGATTTGTTTGGTAAAAACAAGATAACAAAAGTCATGAAAGACTTGTCATGCTGAAATTACAATTCTACCAGACTTTGATTCAGAAGATCGAATCTTACTTGTCTAGGTAGCAAATAATCCCTGACATTTTCTATAATTAGTATAAAACCTATAAAACGTATTTAGTCTTTTGCTGTGTTTGACAAGTCCTTGGGCCTGTCTCGCCAAGTACATAAGCCGAAGTGTCTCTCCTTCCCCTTTGCATGGATTTTTTTGATGGGTCCTGTAAGGTTCAGATTCTTATGAAGAAATCAATGATTTTTCTTGATAAAGATTTTCGATTTGGTCGATGGTGAGTACCTTATGAATGTGATAATAAAGAACTATGAGATCAGTTATTTGTTTTACCTTTGGTTTTATTAGGTACTTACATGTTCTTATATCCTTACAGATATACCATACATGCATTGAACAGTGCCTTCAGACAATTTGTTTCTCGGTTGAGAAAGAACTGCTACAAATAAGTAGATTGTCAGGTTTTGTGACTTTCAGAGAACACATGTCCTCATTTTCAAAGTGATTGGGTTGGCAGTATAATCAAAAATCTTATGAACATGATAGTTTGACAAATGGTCTGATTAAACTACCTATACGATGCATTGGAAACGGATTGGATTTATAATAATAGAACCAAACTAGAAGGGCCAAAAGGGCAAATATTAGTCTAAAAGTCACGAGAGACGAAACAACAGTAATAGAAAGTACAAAACTATATTCTACAAGACAAAACTGGAAACAAGATGATGATTCATACAACAAAAACAAATGAGGAATTTGAAAGAGAGATCAGGAAGTTGCAGCATTGCAGGTCCCAACTCCATCTTTGCAGTCGTTTGTAAGATCGTTGAATGTTTCAATCTGCTTCTTGCCTCTCAAGAATACTTCTGTGTCAACAGATGCTCTCATGTAACCATCAAACTCCACCGGGTTACCTCCATTAAGCTTTGTAGTCTCTGAATACCACTCGCTGCTCTCGTCCCACAGATCTTTATAGTCATAAAGAAAATGAGTGGCGTACCTGTCTTTCAAAGGGTTGAACAAGGATAATCCTTCTTCATTTGTTGCAATGTAGAGATTCCTTCCTTCTTCTACTTTGTCCTGCAAGGTCGACAAGAGAGCGCTTGGGGAAGTATCTGCTTCTAGATTAGGCCAAAGCTCCTTGTTTCTTGCTTTCTCTCCTCTCTCGATGTGTACTGCATCGTAGTCCCAGTTTAACCTCGATGCAATCGCAGAGACAATTTCCATCAACCTTCTTGATTTCCATAACAGATGCCAAGGTCTTTTAACAGCAGATTCTGCATCTCCTTCACAAACTCTGTACCAGTAATTGTCAGGTTCTACTGATCCAAACTTCCTCATTATCAATGTATCTTTTACATCAGCAAGCCTCATCGGCGTGACCCTAAAATCCTCCACGAGATGAAGGTTCAATCTATTCTTCTTCTTATGCAATTTCTTCCACTCCGCCCAAAACTGAACTTCATCCAACACAGAAGCCGCTTCTTTCAAATGCTCGAAATCAAAGTAAAACCGGAAGTCCTTCCCTTCCTCGTTCTGGCCAGACGACGTGTAGATAGAAGACAGACACAATGTCAAATCCATCACCAAAGTCCGGTTCAAATACTGAGCTTCCCCAAGTGCACACAAGAAACTCCACAGAAAATGATTCATACTCTTACACCTATCTCCTCCACCTACGTAAACCAAGTACTTCCCGCTTTTAAACGCATTATCAGACTCAACCATAGGAAGAGAATCATTCACTACCTCACCAACCACAGGCAAAGAGAAATCATCTTTCTTCCCACCAGTCTTCTCAAACCCAGCTTTCTGATTCTTCTTCCGCTTCCTCGCATTCAAACCCGAATGATACTCCCCAATCCCAACCACACTCAAACTACAATTCTCAGACTTTCCAATCACAAACCTCCTATAATCCTTATAGAAAGCAGCACTCTTTCCATCTCTAGGCCTATACCTCCACGCCATGTCACAAGAATTCACACCTTCCCCAACCGCAGGCTTACCAAACTTATAAAAGTGAATATCTTTAAACTTCTCAATGGTAGCTTTCATCATAAGATGAAACACTTCTTGATCTTTACAATCAATGGGAGCATTCACATCACATTCCAACTGATTAGCCTCTTCCTCATTTTTCTCAATGGTATCACTAGTGGCTTCAACATCAGTTATGTTGATGAAAGCTGCAAACGCGGTTTGATTCGCCACCATGAAATCTTCGCCGGTTCTAACAACAGAGTCATCGGATCTCAATGTAGCGTTTGATGTGGAAGTGAGGAAAGTTGTGATTTTGTCAGATGGGTGGAAGAGAGGATCTTCTGGTTCGTAAGTTGCGGCGATGATGGTGAAGATTAGTACTCCGAAGACGAAGAGTGAGAAGCCTATGTTCCCGATTAAGTTTAGTGCGTTTTGCCCTAAGTTCTCAGGACGGAACCCTCCGGTTCTTGGAATCGCAGATCGACCAAACATTTCTTCTTCTTCCGATCCAGATCCGAGAATGAAGAATGGAGAAGAAGACCCTCCTCAGTGGTATAGTACTGTGTTTCCTTGGGAAGTCGATGAAGCTCGAGTGAAGTGAAAGATCCACCGACAATGGCAGAAGTGTAATTTTAGTGTATTTATTTCCCTATGTATTCTTTATTGCATTGGATAAGTAAAGGATCAAACTTTGGTTGACCACCAATGCTCAGTATTGAGTAAATGAATAATTGAAAGAATAAGAGCTGTACATTGTAGTCTTCTTACTGAAGATCTAAACATCAGAACAAGGATGTATATGACTTAGTGTTTGTTCACATGAAGAAGCGTGAAAAGAAAGTAAAAAGAAGAAACTCAAGAGAGTGAAGTTGGTTGTTTGGTTTAGACTTTAGAGCCTAAGGTAGCCTCTTCTTTCTTGGACTATGTTTGGTCTCTTCTGGAACGATCTTCTGTTAAAAGACCAGCTTCTTTTCATATCTCTCATACTCCACCAAGAAGCTATACGACTATATAAAGCAGGGAAACCGAAGCAGGAGAGCACTAGAACCAGCATTATAAGACAGATGTACATTACATTTCTGAATCCGTCTCCTAGCTCTGGTTTGTCTTGTCCAGTCCAAGGAACTCCTCCGACGTTCATCCCAAAAACTGGTAAGAAAAGAGGTTAGATAGTGATATGAATGGGAAGAGAAGGTTGGCTTTTTGGTGCTTTTCTTTTACCTCCGGTTATAATCGATAGAGGAAGGAATATGATGGAAAGAAAGGAGAGGTAGTAGAGCTTTCGGTTGATTTGCTCGGCTTGCCAGCTATCCAAACCAGCTTGGATTGCAGTCACACGGTTCGCAATGAAGCCTACATTCTCTTTTAAACGTCTTAACCGCCCAATCAACTCTTCCAAGGAGTTGATGTCTTCTGCCAGAAACCAAGGCTTCGTGGAACATTTTTCTTTCACTCTTGGAAATACTTGTTCTCCATGTGCAATCACCTGAGATGCATGCCAATGTTTAACTCAGATTGGATACAAAAATCATGTTCTTAGAACAAAAATGTGCTGCAAAGACATGAAATCACATAAAACAATGTTGTGAAGTAAACGTAAGGTCTGGTGATATATAGCTCTACCTGCAAAAGACGCTGCAAGTTGAGATGCAATTTGGGAAACCTTCTATCATTTAACATCTGCTTCTTCATAGCAAATCCACCTATCATCAAAATCGATTATTACATATGATTCCAACAAACAACAACACAAAAGCCCTCTGAAAAGAAGTTGCAAAAGTGCATGGACTTGAAAAGAAGTAATCAAATGGTGCGCAAAACAAATGGCAAATGCCTTTTTAATTTGAGTCATTTAAGGTTTAAGTAGCTAACCTCTATCCATTTCGAGTTCCACGGCATCCAAATCGATCTCAAGTTTGGTAACAACATCTTGCAGTTGATCAACATGTGTATCAATGATATGCACAACAAGATTCGAAACAGAAGTTGGCACAGGGTTATCAGCTTCCTCAGAGTGGTTCATAGTCAGCAAGAATTCAAGAACATGCTCCTCAATCACAATCCCGCTTCTTTCCTTCCTCTCACCACGATAATACAAAGGAGAATCCACACTAGGGACTTCCGAAAGAAGCGACTGACCCATAGGCGAGAATCCTAATCTAGGAACTCGTCCTAAAGACACAGTGATCACAGAATGCTCAGTAATCCTAGCAGCAATCTTAAACGTAAAGTTACTTGAAGCAGGACCAGGTGAATTAACTCTAAAAACAAGTGCTCCATCAACATGCCCACAAAAGGGTCCATTACTAACAAGAGAAAGAATGTCTTGAAGCTTCAATGGTGGACATAAAGAATCAATAAGTTGCTGAGCTGATTGAGAAAGTTTCTGATTCCCTTTAGGTAACTCTACATGATACCAACAAAACTCTTTCCCTGTTCCTTCAGCAAGATCCCACTCTTTGTTATAGTATTTACCATCACCATCAAATATATATCCTCTCTGTCTCACCATTCCTGAGTACTGATGAGACCTAAACCTATTATGAGCGTCACTACGAGGAGCACTACTTGTAAAAGACTCAAGATCTGTCTCATCTACTTCATCACCAATTCGATCCTGCTGCTGCATCATTGACAAATCTTGAACCTTTCTCACACAATTTGAAATCAACCCACAAAGAAAAATAGAATCTTTATCATCAAACTCTCGAATTCACTTCCTGAAACGAATTGGGTAGATGCAAAATCACATGATCAGCAAACAACAACATTGTAAAATCCGATTAAGGCACAAATTGGGATCAAAAGGGGTAAAACTTACATGCAGGTTTGGGTGAGATCTAAGTGAAGCTAGATCACCGGAGCTAATCAGAGGAAGAAGAAGAAGCTGAGAATTTAGTTTTCTCAATGAGGAGACTCGACGCGTAAAGAAGGATGAAACAGTGAAATTGAATCTGGGCGTTGACAAGAGAAACAAGTAGGAATCTGTCAGAGCAAATTTTTAATGGCACAGATTGGATCATACGAATCTTTATTTACTATTTTCCAACTCTTATAAATGAAAAACATATTTAAATTAAGAATAATTTTGTTAGTCAATTTATATATATATATATATATCTTATTATATAAACCTTGGTTTTCAAAGTTAGCCATTAACAAGATCGTGACACGTGTCAATTATAAACGATAAGATGTTGACACGTGGCATAACTAATTTTGTTAATATTTGGATAAAATAGAAATATTATTGACCCTATCGAAAAAAGGAAATATATAAATAAATATTATAAAGAATTATATATTAAAAATTATTAATAAAATTAAACAAATAACCTAATTTCAGTTATGTCAATTTGGTTTATTAATAAGATAGGGATTTAAAATTTATAATTAACAGAATATATGACGGTTTTTGTTTACTGAAGAGGATTAAGGTTTAAACTTTAATTTTACAATTAAATCATGTTATTTGTTGGTTTGGGTATATAAATGATAAATAAGAATTATGGTTTATTTTTATAAATTAAAATTATGGTTTAAGCTTAACAATTAAATGAGCTTATATGTCGAAACTTGGTTTTTAAATTTAATAACTCACGTGATCATGATAAGTGTTAAGTAAAAACATAAGATGTCTCATGTCGCAACATGTTATATCTAATTTTATTAATATTAAGATAAAAATAGAATTTTTAAACAACATTAAAAAAATAATCATAAAAAATTAAAGAGAATTTTTGAGAAATACCCCTTTTGGTGTACCCCTTTTCAAAAATACCTCCTTTATCTATCCATTTTCAAAAATATCCATGTTTAAATATGAAAAATTATAAAGTTTTATATGGTTTATAAGGTACTTCTATATAATAACTACTACTTGGAAATTTGATACAAATATTTTATAATATTTTAAAAGGTTTTAAATCGTTTTCACAAGTTTTATAAGGTTTTTAAGTGGTTTTTAAAAGGATTTATAAGGTTTTTAAAAGGTATTTATAAGTTATTTTACACTATTTATGAAAGATATATAAAAATTAAACATATTTAAAGGTATTTTGTGTGTATATTTATAAGTTTTCACACATATTTGGATAAATTTCAACATTTAAAGTGGTTTTTTATAAAGCTTGAAATAGGGGTATTTTAAAAAAGTGGTATGGAAAAGGGTATTTTTGATATTTAAAAGTAAAAAAATTGATATTTATAAAAAATAAATGTGTAAGCTTATATATTTAGACACACATTATCTTTCTATGTGTGTAAATTTAAATACCATATATATACCTTTTAAAAACGTTCTAAAAATTATTTAAAAAACATATAAAAACTTTTTAAACCTTATAAAAACCTTATAAAATTCTTATAAATGCCGTTTAGAACCTTTTTAAAACTTTATAAATATTTGTATTGAGTCTCCCAATAGTAATGATGATCTAGATGTACCTTATAAACTATATATAAGTTTACAATTTTTCATATTTGAAAAGGGATATTTTTAAAATGGATAGAAAATTGGTGTAAATTTAAAAAGGGGTATACCAAAAGGGGTATTTCTCAAAAAATCTCTTTCAACTATAACCTAATTTTTGGTTTTGCCAATTAGAAGGGTTATATGTTGAGTTTATAAATCTGCATTATAGTTTAGATTTTATAATTAAACAAGATTATTTATCAGTTTGGGTTTAGTAAAGAGGAGTGAGATTTAGGTTTTGCAATTAAACAAGGTTATTTATCAGTTTGGGTTCATAAACGAGAATTAGGATTTACAATTTACAAATAAATTAGATTTTGAGTTTAACTAAATTCATGATTTTAATTTTATAATATGTTATATTTGTTTAATTTTCAATTTATGTATGAATATATTATGCCATTGAGCAATTTCATTGTCTAAAACATAAGGGTGAATAAAATATTTTCGAAAATAATATTTTTAGCTTAAATTAAAGATAACAAAGTTCAATATAAATCGTAATATAGTAATTTTAAAATATTTTTACAGAAAATATGTAATTTTTAATAATTCGTATTTGAAAGATTTTTAATGTTTTCCTCAACGATGCTATAATTTATTCTAGAATCTTTATGTTTATTCGCGTTGTTTATATGAATTTATTTACAAATGACTATATTTGTATTTAACATCATATTTTAGATTGATGTTAATTTGAAAAAACTTTACCATCATATTAAATAATAATTAATTAATTTTCATAGTCTGAGAATGATTTTTTGAAATTTTAA